TCATTTCCAGTAAAAAGGGTCTCAGGTCCAGTAAAGCATACTGTAGTAATGGTTTTATCATACCATAATCAAAAAAAATGCATCAAAATTCAACCTTAAATTTATATAACATATGATTATTGTGTTCTTATTACTAGGTACATGCTAGGTTACGTCTGCCTCTTGCTTATTTCTGACTCAAAGCATTTCAATGATAAAAAATACATCAATCTATGATTTTAGCTTAAACTAGAAAATTCTAAAGAATTGTAGGAAAAACCCACTTCCTAGTGAAAGCTGTCGGGGGCCTTAGCTAATTTAATTCAATGAAGATATTTACTGCGGATACTTAAATGGGTGCTTTCACCGCGTAAAGAGTAACGAATGATCATTAAATGCACCAGTTTTTTGTTCTACATCACTTCAGCCTAAGCCCGAATGCACAGACAAAGATATATTAACGCAACGCTATAATAATAACATTAGAGATACAACTTTAAATATTTTTTTAAAGTAGAGACCTTTTTTCATGTCTTAATTCAATGAAGACCAAGGTCTTGAAGAATGAAGATTGTCTAATTGCAAATTTAATGTCTAAAATTGAGTTTTGTTGATCTTGAATCTTGGTCTTGAATTTATGACTATGGTTGCAATGAATTTATTATCGCTTTAAAAATGACAAATCTTAATTATTTTTTAATAGAATAAGTGTGACAAATGAACACACAGTTCACCTGGTGGTAAGTGGATGATGTGACGTCTACATATTCATCCTCGATTAAGAATCAAAATGCAGATGCGTTGTCACCCCTAAAGACTACGATGGAATGCCTCGTTTCCAGTGAAAAAGGGTCCTCGGATCTCTACACTCACCATACGAAACATAGTAGTATTAAGCTGCTATTTTACGCTGCTATTCTGTGAGAGCGTGGTCCTTACCCGGTCGAGCCGACCCATTCGTGCTACAACCATAATATAGCTGCAGCGTAGTGTTACTACGCATAAAAAGTTAATTAGCATTAGAGAAACATTCTATAGTAGACATATGTAAAGTTGTTACGGTTTTTTTTTAAAGTTCAAATTTTCTTATTTCCGTGGCAGAGATATAGTAAAGTCACCACAGTATTCTGGTTTGAAGGTTAAAGAGAGCATTCGTCCATCTGCTGCAGCTGTTATTTTCAAGTGTACTGTTAGCTCGTTTTTAACTCACTTTATTATAAAAAACAAATTTATGCCACTATGATATTTTCCGCGTCGTTGATAGTCTTCGTAACCTTAACAGCTTTTTAAAGTTCACTACTGTACATAGGCCTCCCCCATAGATTGCCTCGTAGAGGGGATATTTGGCTTAGTATGCCGCAAGGTTGCGACCCTTTGTAAGCGAGATGAACCCCACATTTTTTTTTAATTCGTTGCGAAGAAGACACTGCCTGATTTGTTTCCCTCAGTCGCCTGTTACGACACCCACGCGACGATATGGGCTTGTGGATATTCTTACACCGCCACTACTTAGTAGGTTGATAGTCTCCAACATTATTTAAATCGGTCAGTCCGTCACCGTAGTCGATGTGGTCCAGGGGTTCATCATACTGTGATTACTTCCCCGGTCAAGTATTCGGATAGATAAATATAAGCAAAAAGCAATCCTCACTACACTATTAAGCGCCATGCTTATCAGTTAATTACGTATAATTTTATTTTACTTGGGTCAAATTCGTGTTGCGTGCATAACGCGCTAATAACGAGGTTATCTTTAACCTCGTTATTAGCGCCCTCAGAGCTTCTTTAAGAGATACGAGAATATTCAACTCTGATATAGCTGAGTATATTTTGCTAATATTTATTTGTTAATTATACACACACTACACGTACTATTTTTACTCTCTCAATTTAAAAATTATGTCATATACCTACGCTTAGTGTTAAACTTACTTCTGTTACGGGCGCATTTCGCGTTCAAAAGAAGTCTACTATGGTCTATGTATTTGTAAGACCGTGTTTATGAATAAAACCCTTTTTATTAATTAAAAAAATGCACACAATTGCGTCAAAAAATCTTCAGCAATGACTTAACATTTAATTTTTTTATTTTAAGAGTTTAGTGGGTATATCCATATCAATTTTTTGTGGATGCCCTCGTTCTTTTTAAACTACTCTTAACTATCTATTATCTTTGATGTAACGCTTATGCAGTAGAAACGAACTCTGAACAAAACGGAATGTCCTTACAAGTGTATACTAGTTGACTCCTTAACTTTGGAAGTACATTTGGGTTGGCTGACTAGCAAAAAGCTTACCTATGTCTGTTTTAAGGGAAGAAAGTCAGTATGATAAACGACAGTGAGAAGTTTGATATCGTTTGTGCATAACAAATCCGTTTTTTCTTCATTAAGTGTAAAATTTTTTGTTGAGCGTCCTTTTAAATCAAATATTCCAGTTCCGAAATATCCGAATAGTGAAGTTCTCTAAATCCGTATTTTAAATTTGATGGATATGCAAATAATTCGATTATCCGTATATTTGAAAATTGCTAGATATCCACATTATTCTATTATCCTAAAATATGAATCGCAAGCCCCAATTACCCCTAACGGTATTTTTAAAAGTAAGCAGTCTAGTGATGCTGGATACTTGATACGTCTAAAAATTTATACATACTTAATACGGTTACGTTGATCAAAACGTCGTAAACGAAAGATTTATATTATCTGTATTGTTGGTACATTAGCGTGAAGTGAGGAATATCAATTTTGGCAGGCAAAGGATCATAGGCTACCAACCTTTTAATTACATATTTTAAGTATAATTACATATTTTAACATATTTTTAATTAACAATAAGCATAGTATACGTGATAGAACCACGCTGCGGCTATATTATGCTTATTGTACGTTGTAGCACTAAAATGCCGGCTCGACCGGGGAAGGATCACGCTCTCACAGAATACCAGCGTAAAATAGCAGCTTGATGCTGCTGTGTTTCGTGTGGTGAGTGTAGAGAACCGGAGACCCATTTTACTGGACTTGAGGCATTCCATTTTAGTCCTCAGGGGTGACAACGCATCTGCATTTTGATTCTTAATCGAGTTTAAATGTAGATGTTATGGTTAGGTGGATTGTTTGTCACCCTAATTCTATAAAAACAAAAAGGTGATATATGACAGGCTACGCAAAACATTTGCTTACACACATTTTGTCACAAAAGGATGGTTAGATAAAATTGATTTTTACAAAATGAATACGAATGTTACGGTTCTAAATTTCAGTTTACATTTCTTAAATATTGTGTTTCGCTGAAAAACGAATCTGCTTCGGAATCATTTTCAAACATTATTTTCTTCGCTATTCGTAATGTGTACCATCCGATTCCAATGTAGGTGTTTTCAAGGCGAAAGTAAACTCAAGACAGTCAGTGTGCTTGTTCATTTTCAGCTACATCAATCACCACTTAACAGCAGATGGCACAGTAGTCAAGCTGTATTATCTTCTTCTTCTTCTTCTATCTCTATATATAAAAACCTGTAGCTGTCCGTTAGTGTCGCTAAAAATCAAAAACGGTTCGACCAATTTTTATGAAATTTTGTGTGTGTTTGAATGGGTCCCTAGAAGGTTTAAATACACATTTGGACCCGGGGCGGATCGCTAGTATTTGTTTATTTAATTTATTTATTTTATCTTCAAGGGAAACATACATAATTTTATTCTATTACATAACACATATTAATCTTACATTTAACAATAAAACTTCCACAGTTAAGTAACGCATCAACTACAAGCGAACTTCATGACTTACTTAGCTGTGCAAAAACTAAAGTGAAGTTAAGTAAAAGTAAAGTGTGATACTAAAGTGAAATGATAATTTAGTTATTAATTTAGCTATTATCCATTACAGCTTCAATTTCCTTTTTAAACTGTCCATATGACAGAGAAAATATATCAACATGTGAAAAGTTGTTATAAGAATTACATGTGCACGAGTTATAAAATTGTTCTTGCCATATTTTGTGTGCATAGTAGAAGTACAAAATAAAAGTTTCTATATAGCACTTATCCTTTGGCATCTGAAATTTATTTCACTTAGAAGTAATATGGATAGTGGTATAGTAATAGATAATTTTTTTTATAATTATTTTAACAACCTATGGGCGATACATTCAAAATCTTTTTCAACAATTGTGTTGCGTAGCAACAAAATTGTTGTTCCATTTCGATCAACCGTTAAAATTTGAACAAATCAAGGCGTGTCGATTAAAAGTCATTAGTTCTTGTAAATTTCATTTCATATTTAACCGTAACAATTTCTTTATAACTTTCGCTTTTTAAAATCTTAAAAATTAGACTTCATAAATAAAAAAGGTCGGTATTATAGCTCCGACTTCTGAAACTATTATGCGGATTTTTTTTTAGCTTTTTGAAATCGACTTTTCCTTACTAAGTCTAATTTCTTGAGCTGTATTCCCTTTTGAGTGTACTAAGGAAAGCTCAAATGTCGTTCACTAAACATTCCCTTTTTTTCCCTGTTGTTTCTTCAAATCTAAGTGGGACCACCCCTAAAGTATAACCTGTTTTATTGTTTATTTATTAAAATAAATGATGAACGCTCTTTGACCATTTTGAAGCTATAACTTTAAAAATATTGTTCTCCAGGAGGGAGAAACTTTCTTGAAGAAATATTGTTCCTTTAGAAGTTAATGCTTAGTCGATTGTTAATTGTTATTTCTTTTACGATTTCTCAAAATGATTTTTTTATATAGAATTTGTAAGGAAATACCAGTAATTGACATTAGTTTTTTATTAGACTATGTACAGGAATCTTCTATTTTAAATAATACAAAAATTTTTTGGGTACGTGAGATTTCTATGCCTAGGGGTAGGGGGAATAAATATAATATTTTATATTTAATATAATAAAAATATTATATTATATATATATACATAAAATAATAATACTAAATGAACACTATGGAGTATTAATTTTTTTCACTCATCTTTATAAATAAATTATAATTGTCATGTTCCCAGGTCTTCTCGGTGGGCAGTACTCTCCCGGCTTTCTCACAGATCTGGTGCGGGAGATTCGCGACGCTACCCGCTTGAGGGAGGAAGCGCTCTACACCAGAGTTCGAGCAATGGTGCTCGAGAGGATCGATGTGAGTTATGTTAGTAATTCTGAAGTTAACGTATAAAAAGATATATTTTGTCTCATGATTATATATATATATATATATATATATATATATATATATATATATATATATAATCTGCATACTGCTGTAAGGTTCTTTCTCCAGTTCTGGATGAAATTTATCTTAATCGTCACACTTGGCATGAGGATTGACTGACGCAGTAACATACTGAACTAGATGATAATTCCGCCACCTATTGAAAAACCTGAGCTTTTGGCGTTTCCTATTAACATCTTTTACGACACCTACAGTTCAAAATGGAGTCATGGTTTCTTTAAAGCCGCAACCACAAGTCTTACCTCAAGATAAGGTATACGTGGTAGAGCCACGCTGCAGATATATTATGGCTGTAGCACGCTCTCACAGAATACCAGCGTAAAATAGTAGCTTAATGCTGCTGTGTTTCGTATGGTGTCTGTAGAGAACCGTAGACCCTTTTTACTGGAAACTAGGCATTCCATTTTAGTCCTCACGGGTGACAACGCATCTGCATTTTGATTCGTAATCGAAGATACATGTAAGTGTCTATGGGCCTCAGCGATCACTTACCATCAGGTGGACTGTGTACTCGTTTGTCACCTATTCTATAAAAATAAGTAAACATAAATTTCTTGTTTGCACAGTTGTTGAATGGTGGAATCGAACCCACGACCTTTCGATTTAATTTTGGTAATTATTTCACAGAGAATTACGTGTATATTTTAACAACGGCATCAGGTAGTGAGATTTAGAAATGTATTGGCACAACTTCAAGAATTGTCACAGAGGCGACGAGTCTAGTGTTTCGTAGTGAGACATTTTGTATTTTTTTTTATAGAATAAGAGTGACAAACGAGCACATAATTCATCATCATATCTTAATGTAACAATTTCAAATAAAAGAATGCTAGAAATTCTTTAAATGCACAAGCATTTAAGTATGTGTGTAGGAATACTTCACGTCACTATTGAAATTAAACCCTTAAACTAATACTGTCAATGAAGAAAAAATATTACTATGGTTTCTTTCTGTTCGAGTTAGACTGGGAATGCCTTTCTACCTAATTTTAGGCATTCCATCTCACTCATCCATATCACTCATAGCCTTTTGCCATGCCATGGGTTGCAGTATCTTACGGCTGTGTCTTTGACCACAGAAAAAACTTAGCGAGAGTTAAAGGAAGTGATGAGAGTTGGATTGATGTTGATTGCAGTGATCATACTACTGGGAAATATAGCAGATATTTTTTTTATTGCAATTGAATGAATTAAATATGTGCCGGACGGGCGAAACTCTTCGGAGTAAATGTTGTCGAAGATACTTCGCGAGTCGCTCACGTTCTACACCTATAGGTTCCGGTGGGTACTTCCACTGCCGTCTTTGTTGGTGCCACTGAGATATTGTGGACTGAGGTTCAAATCAAAATGCACGATTAATAAATACAAATAGCAAGGTAATGGCCAGCGGTTCGACTGATTGATTAGTCGCGAAATTTTATAATTATTGACCACGGTTGTTGAACTACGGTTGTTCACTGTATATTTCAAAAGATTTCTTTAAATTGTACGGTGGTATCAAATATCTATTGGTAGTAGCCGGTTTTCTAACACTACTGATTAGCAGCTATTATCAACTAAACTATCTGATTTTATCACCTGTGTAATTGCGAATGTCAGTTACGACCTTTTTAGGCTAGCTAACACTTTCACTATATGTAACTGCGAATGTCAGTTACGACCTTTTTAGGCTAGCTCACACTTTCACTATATGTAACTGCGAATGTCACTTACGACCTTTTTCGGCTAGCTAACACTATCACTATTCACTATATACTGCTACTAGTCACTTCAGCTACCACCGGATACCACTCACTTCACTTCACTGTCACTGGTAGCACACTACTACTCCTACTTTTTTTCGCCCGAAGCAATGGGAACGGGTCACGAGCCCCTAAGGTAGACTTTAGCAATACTTTACAGTGAGCCGCTTGCCATTTTCCGTTTTGCCTCTTTATTGCATAAACTTTTCACTATGCAAATGGCATAAATTACAATATTTTCTATACAAAACTAATTGCTACACTAACATCCTATACATCATCAAATCGGTAGTCTGGTACTTTATTAGTATATCATAAAGGTTCCTCAAAACATTACAATTTTAAAAAGTTATTAAACGAAATGTCCCAAATTTTCATAATATTTGGGTACATTAATTCTTTGATTTTTATATAACTATCAAATGCGTTTAATTATACAAAATATTCCTACACTTCCTTAATCTATAAGCCATATGCTAGCTAATTCAATATCATATTTACAACTCTTTTAGAACATAAAATTATTTTCATTATTTTTAGTATGAATGTATTACGCAATTAATTAAAAACTTACGATAAGACGCGCTGCGATTGGTCGATTTTTCTTAATATAATAAAAGTTGTTTATATCACTTGTTATCAAAATGACATTCTATATAAATATACTAAGCGTTATAAACATGTTACACAACTATATCAATACACGTTTTCACCCAGTTTTATCGGTAATTTCACTATTAATACAAAAAACAATATTCTTTATCACTTTGTTTCTTAGCGTTGTTAGGCCGTCGTGAACAAAATAAATTAAAAAACCAAAGTGAACCTTCACTTCGATTTTTTAATAGGATGATCCCAATAGTCAACCGTCTAATATCATGAAATAATATTAATATAAATTTGTACCGTAAAGTATTAATATTAGAAATTGCTTACAGAATAGTCTGGCGTCGAACGAGGCTAAAATAGCGGAGAGAACACTTGAAGATATAAAGGTATGCCTAAAAGCGCCATCTATGAGAATTTAATAGAATCAGCTTTCCGCGTTGTGTATCAAACTATAATCAAAACAGTTCGTTTATCGGAGTTGTCTTGATTGTTTCATAGATGGCGGTATCATGAAGTGATTTGGTAGAATAACTCAATAGTTCCATAACGTTCCAACAGATGGTACTGTTTTTAAAATTTTGAAAGCTATTTTTAAATTTTATTTTATAATAATTCAAAACAAAAACAATTTCCAAAGAATAATTATAATGATAATATACTTATCTTACTTGTTAATTTTGGTCACATTGAATCAAAATTAATATTAACCCCATATTCCGAGAGAAAAAAAGATTTAAACTTCGAAAAAGCATTTGACTTGTTACGGATTTTATCTTGTGAATTTATCACCTATAATTTTCACTTATTTTTAATTCCCAACGGAACGGACGCTCACGGAAGGACTAACCTCGTGATACTTTAGTTAATAAATTGCATTTATAAAACTACTTTAGAATTCAATATAATATCTTTAAATTTAACCGGAGCCGTACCTATAGATTTCTGTACCGTGCCGCCTTCTTATTCGTCGTTGACACCGAAAAGGTCGAACCTTAATTTTTTAAAAGTTATAGGAGAGCAAGAAAACATTTATTATTCCCTGATTACTAGCTTTTTTTATTTAATTCCTAAGCTCTTCTTACACAGCAAGTTCTCTCTGTAACAGGAAAGCAGCAGCTGTGGCCTATTGCGATTTGGTTATGGAAACATATATTTTCATAGTTTTTTACCACATGTACCACCATTTATATATGTTATATATTTGTATAATGTGTGTATGTATATATTTGTATACTTTATATATTAAATATATTAGTTAAATGTATATATTACGTAGTTAATTATAATTTTTATTTAGCTTTTATTCTATATTGCCACACCTACGTCAAATTCTCACCACTCCATGGGTTGACTGGTAGGGAGTGCTTTAAGGCATTAAGTCCGCCCTTTCTGTTCTTTTATTCTAAGAAATGCAATAAAAAATAAAGAAAGAAAAAGATGAAGTTACTATAAGCATTATACTATAAGCTTTGATAAAGTTACTATAAGCATCCGAAACAAGATCGTTAATAAAAAATAAATAAAGAAAAAGTTGAAGTTACTATAAGCATGTTACTATAAGTTTTGATAAAGTTACTACTTATAAGCATCGGAAACAAGATCGTTAATAAAAAATAAATAAAGAAAAAGATGAAGTTACTATAAGCATTATACTATAAGATTTGATAAAGTTACTATAAGCATCCGAAACAAGATCGTTAATAAAAAATAAATAAAGAAAAAGTTGAAGTCACTATAAGCATGATACTATAAGTTTTGATAAAGTTACTACTATAAGCATCGGAAACAAGATCGTTAATAAAAAATAAATAAAGAAAAAGATGAAGTTACTATAAGCATTATACTATAAGATTTGATAAAGTTACTATAAGCATCCGAAACAAGATCGTTAATAAAAAATAAATAAAGAAAAAGATGAAGTTACTATAATCATTTTACTATAAGCTTTGATAAAGTTACTATTATAAGCATCCGAAACAAGATCGTTAATAAAAAATAAATAAAGAAAAAGATGAAGTTACTATAAGCATTATACTATAAGATTTGATAAAGTTACTATAAGCATCCGAAACAAGATCGTTAATAAAAAATAAAGAAAGAAAAAGATGAAGTTACTATAAGAATTATACTATAAGCTTTGATAAAGTTACTATTTAAGCATCCGAAACAAGATCGTTAATAAAATATAAAGAAAGAAAAAGATGAAGTTACTATAATCATTATACTATAAGATTTGATAAAGTTACTATAAGCATCCGAAACAAGAGCGTTAATAAAAAATAAATAAAGAAAAAGATGAAGTCACTATAAGCATTATACTATAAGCTTTGATAAAGTTACTATAAGCATCCGAAACAAGATCTTAAAAAAAATAAATAAAGAAAAAGATGAGTTACTATAAGCATTATACTATAAGCTTTGATAAAGTTACTATAAGCATCCGAAACAAGATCGTTAATAAAAAATAAATAAAGAAAAAGATGAGTTACTATAAGCATTATACTATAAGATTTGATAAAGTTACTATAAGCATCCGAAACAAGATCGTTAATAAAAAATAAATAAAGAAAAAGATGAAGTTACTATAAGCATTATACTATAAGATTTGATAAAGTTACTATAAGCATCCGAAACAAGATCGTTAATGACGGGTTTACTCTTGTTAAGAAGAGACGTCAGTTGAGACCCGTCTTTACCCAGCGTGGGACCGCCACAATAAATGCAAGTACAACTCTGCGTGTTGTGGAGCCCACCAGCTCACCAGCTCTACACCTCCCGTTTGGATAAAAGTACGTCGGGAGGAGACGTCCTGCGTTTCGTGGAAGAACGAAGCCGATGCCGCATAGGGGACCCAATCTCTTTACATTTGCAGCGTCTGGAGTCTAATAGGTCAATGAACTTCAAATCGTACGTACTCCAGGTTCCTGCAAAATACAAAGCCATCCCTCGCTCCCGATTTCTGGCCCACTGGGGTAGTGTTTCGCCGATTCAGGGAAGCGCCAAAGAAGAAAGTTCCCTAAATAGTGTTATGTATATGTTAGATGCTTATTATTAGGTTATGGTATACATTGCTAAGGGCCAATGTTCTTAGTTTTTTTTTAAAGAACGTATCACGGTCACATTAGGATTTTCACTGTATCGTGGGGGCAGTTTACATACATAAATTGCACATGGACAAACATCCAGACCCGGAACAATTATTTGTAGGCTATAAAAATACTTGTTATGTGCGGGATTCGAACCCGCGGCCCCTAAGCCTGCTAAGCCACTGCGCCATGGAGCCGTCATAACTCATAAGTTATTAAGTCCTTGATGCCTGAAATAAAGTTATTGTATTGTATTAAAGCTTTTTAGATTTGACACTTACAGCCATATCGGCATCATAATATTATGATTAGTATATTATAATAATATCATTATCGCTTACCTACTTATAATAAGTTTAATGTATCTATATACCTGTCTCTTTCTATTGTCATTAAGTGAAAAGAGAAAGAGTAACTTTAGGCATTTCTTAAATTGACGTCGAGTTTTATGAGTAAGATCCTTAGTAATACGAGTCATATTATGTATATGTTAAATGTTTTTAAAATATCTTTATAATAAGCAAATACGCTCATAAATAGCGATCAAAACAACGTTTTTAATCCATGGTCACTTCTCATTTGTTTGTTTGCGTTTTATCCTTTTTCCCCCGCATTCACTTGTCGTATTCCAACTAGGCTCTAGAATCAACATTTTTTGCATGAGTGTATTTTTTGCGTTACACCTCGATTCGGTGCTATTAATGCTTGTTTACACTGCGACCTGGGTGGTCCGTTTCGAGTGCTCTCAACGCCTACCCCGTTCCTTTGCATCACACCTCGCTTTCGTACCTGTTCGTATGCGTGACGCGAGGCGTTAGATATCCAGGATTCGGTATTTATTGGGATTTTCCCAAATTACTACCATTGGTAAAAAATACAGCAACAGGCAATATAAAGGTTTCTAATTTCTGTCTGGACCAATACAAACAATTAAATTGACTATTTTAATAACCTGTAAAATACTTAAAATTATATTATTTATCTATTCCATTCATTATATCCATTAATATAAGATGACTCTGATTTTGGGGAATAACCGATATTTGATATGAAAAAATAATTGTATTATTTTTATAAGAACAAATTTATCATTACGAATGTTTTCTGAAAGTTTTAGTTTTACAGAGGTATGTTGTGTAGAGCCGTACTAAATATTGATGCCTTTCCTTTTCTGATCGTCAGTTTCATTCGTCTATCATCTTGATTTATATTATGTGCAAATTTTGTAGATTAGTGATAATATTTTAAGCAAATAAGGTGAAAAGACGGACAAATTTCTTTAGTACATTCGCCAAGTACCGTGTAAAAATTTGCCAAATTTTGACCGTACATTTTGACTGCCTTCAACCTTTTTTGTATCTTGTTCTCAATTATTGTTTTCGAAGAAAAACTTGTTCGGAATAAATTAAATATTTATTGCTGATTTAGTAGCAATGTTTCCATTGATAGTGATAGAGCGCCTTCTACTACCGTGTCCGGATTCTAAACACTAATGGTAACCCTGGAAACGCCGATTGTATACACTTGAAGTGACGTTGCAGAGTTGTAGAGCCATTTTTGTGTTGTGTCACTATTTTTAAGCACACAAAAATTTTCCATCTCACTAAAGTCGTCTATGCATTCGAGTTATCCCAACTGTTTAAGAAATTTCTGGGATATCGGAAAATTGATTTATTTAAATCTATTTTAGAAGTCACAAATTATCTAATTTTTTGGAACGTATATAAAAATTTAACTTAAAATCCGTGCTTCATGTCATCTAATAATCGGTATTACATTCTAATAAAAGGTTGCTTTGCTATGGAACGCCATGGATTTTACATCAGTGTTGCCACTCGTACTGTAATATACAGTATCGTACCATATTTCAGTCAATTTTACTATATATTATATAAAAATAGTATGCTACGAAAAATACTATATTTTTATACCTAATTCAACTGTCGCGCTTAACCTTTCTTGACAGATTAATAACAGCTGACATTCAATGTGTGCCATCTGCGTCCGAAAAATGTCGCCAAATTTAAAAATGCGAAAAGTTTGCACTTCATTAAAAGAGTAATATGCTCGGTACTCTACTTCCGATCAGTACATTTTATTAGCTTATTGAAAACCAGTGTGCTTCATACATTTTTTTTTCATTTCTATAAAGCCTCGTATCATTTACCACCACGAGGGACGGTATTCAGAGAGAGCAGCAAAGTTACAGCTACATTACGAAGAAAGTCGTAGTTCATCGGCTCGTAAATAGTCCACTGCTGATGGGATCCCTTCATTATTAGGGTGGAAGGCACTAGTGG